ACAGTGTTGCACACTGTGCAGTGCCTGCAAGTTAACTCTTTTAACCATGCTAAGACCTTCCTGAGGCCATCTGTTTAAAATTAGGACTTCCAAAAGTCATGCCAGTGCACCAGGTGCCTCCTCTGACCTGCACATGTGGGCTGCAAAGCCCTGCTGTTAACTGTAATTGCCTCCAGAGGTCTGCCTGCAGTCCACTGAGCAGCAGCAGGACCAGCCAGCTCTCAGCAAGACCAGTGCTGTCTTATTTATGCAGTGCCATTGTATTTCACAGAAAACATGAGTTCTTTCTTGGGATTTTTTATACTCTTACCTGACTGCTGAGCTGTCGTTATCACGATGTACTCCCCAGTTCTGTAGCTTGTCTTTAAGAGAGGAAGATTCCACAACAGTTCAGCTTGGATGTGCCTGGGAGCTGAGCAGAGTTCAGCAAGTCCAGTCCCCACATTGAATTTGAAATCTCTTCAGCCCTGGAGGTGTTGTTACCTTTTTGCAGGCTGTGAAAAAGGACCACAAAACACATGAAGAAAAAACACAGCTCTTGTGATTGCCTGTACTACCCTGTTTAATACTATCTTACAAAGTTGAATGTATTGTGTAAGTTATATAAGATGACCCTGCTTGAGCAGGGAGGTTGGACCAGATCACCCACTGTGATCCCTTTCAGCTTGACCCATTCTGTGTGATTCTGTATTCCAGGATTTGTCTTTTTCTAATGTTGCAAGATTCCTTTTATCTACTTAAAATTTTTAGCTGCATTTACTAAAGGCAATGTCCTCTAAGGGACTATTTTGACTTCCTTGGTTATTTATCACATTTTTTGCTCCTAGAAACGTATGACTAGTGTTCAGATAAAACCAGACATAATGTTCCAGGAGCAAATACAGCTCTTGTGTTCTCTTTGCTATAGCCTGCCTCCTTGAGCTGTTTGCATGATGAAGAGCAGAAGCAATCTCCTTCAATAATAAGTGAACAAGGAAGGAATAATCAGTTGTGTGCTAATGATATGGCTTAGGTCTGCTTCACAAAATTAGTTCTTCTAATTCTACAGCTGTGGTTGTGTGCTTGTTCTGACTTAAGCAAGTCTGATGAGCCTTCTGAGTACACCTTGTACCCCTTCAGCACCAAACAATAATTCCCTTCCTTCACAGGTATGATGAGGTCCTGTATAGATCTTCTCAGGATCTGCAACCCAAGCACATTGTCAGCTACCTCCTCACACTGAGGTAAGGTGTTTGCTGATACTGGTGGTGTCTCCAGAGAGGACAGGCATTCCTGAGCTGGCTCTGCAGCCCTCACTTCTGCACTGCTTTGAAGAGTAAAAATAGTGGGAAGATGCAAATTTGTGGGGCAGTTTCCCTGAAGCAGGAAATATATAAAGTAGGGTAGCAAATCATGTAATAAATAGTAGAGATTAAGGCTGGAGCCAGGACCCTCCTGAGAAACTTTACCGTTTTTAAGAAAAAAATAATAATTTGGCTGAAACCCAGTATCTGAACCTAAAATCATGCTGGACTAATGATGTCTTAAGGAGCAGATTTTAGCTGATAACATCCTATCAATATCAACATTTTAGCTAGGAAATTTTATCCAAACTACTTTTAACCACTATCTCAGCCCCTGAACAAAGCTTGTTATTAGTGTAAGTCATACTGTATATCTGATTCCCATAGGGATTGGACAGCACCATGAAATGCTGGTGTAGGCTTGGTGGAGGAAGCTATAGAGCCTGTGTACGGGGAAGGCTTTAACAAGTTAAGGAAAACCATGTAAAGAATCGTGCATCTTGGGAATGATAGGATAGGCTCTCAAGGATCTTCCCAGAGCAGTCTTGAGACTGTTTTGTGAGTTCTTTGTGGGGATGGAGGGTAGGGTGTGGGAGGGTATGTGTGAAGTAGGGAGATTATTTTGGGGTTGTTTTAGGAGAATTGTCAGGGCATGCCATCAACACCACACAGGCTACAGAAAACCCATGCCCTCCTTCAGCCGGGTGAAGAAGCTGTTGGAAATCAGCCTGTGGCGTGCTGCAGTTGTGGGTGGCTCTTCCAGTTCTGCTGCTTTCTGTAGCCCACAGCGCTGCGTTTGTCAAATGACTTACTCCTCCTCACCGTTCTGCCGTGTTTTCCCTTTCAGCCACCTGGCAGCCGTGGCACACAAAACCCTTCCCGTGAAAGGCAGCGCCCCCGATGTGGCACAGGTACGGCACAGCAGGGCTGGAGCCTGGAGGGCGGCCCCGAGGAAGGATCCATCCGCCAGGGCTTTGCCAGCCCAGCAGTGTCACCACTGGGGGGAATATGAGCCCGCAGGCAGAGGAGCCAACAGCCAGGCTCTCGTGGGCGGCACCCCTTTGGGAAGGCAGGGATTGCTGTTCACAGCTGTGCCTTCCGGAAAGGGCTGCTCTGCTTGATCCTCCAAAAACACAACACCCTAAGGACAACTGCTCCAGAGCCAGTCAAACACCTTCTCATCACCTTTCCTTCTGAATGTTTTAAGAGTAAACATTTGAGCTTTTAACTTGCTCGTTGACTTTTGATGGTTTCCTTTAGTGGTTATGTAGGAAGATACAGAATTAGGAGAGAACTAAATCTTGTCTCCTCCCTCTTGCCACCTACATATCCCAAGTTGTCGGTATTGCCTTTCTAGCTAAAGCACAGAGGCTGACAACTATTAATGTGCCATTCCAAATAAATGCAAATTCTTTTTACTGATCTCCTAGGCAATGTTTGACCCCCCAATGACTCAGTAAATGATATATTAATTACACTGCCTCTTTCATCTGTTTCAAAAGGAATTACCTATTTGATTTTGGTAGGAAATAACATTTAAGTGTTGAGCTGTGGTGTGGAGGAAAAACATTCAGTAGAATTGGTGGACCTGTAGTCTGTATTTGAGCTTAGAGACTGTAGGCATTTGTGCCTTTGGAGATGGACTGCATCAAGCTTCAAGGAAAACTTCAGATTCTTATCCTGTAAATAAAAATATTTCTAAATGTCTTGCACTGTAACAGCTTTCAAGAACTATCATTTTTGGAGCGAGCTTGATAGAGCCCTTCCCAAATAGCCAGCTGTGTAACAGCTAAGACATTGAAAAGGGAGTGTGAAATTTTCAAAGCAGCCTATAGTTGCTTGACAGCCTGTCACCTAGGCACAGCGAGGGGAGGGATTCCAGCGGTATCCTCAGGCTGTACTAGCCCTCGGTGCATGAAAGATTTTCAGCTTTTAGTCATTGCACTCTTGTTCAGGCATCTCTGCTTGCTCTACCCCGAGGGCAGGACTGGGCTGGGCTGGACATTCCTCTCCACCTTCGTTTGACAAAATGTCCCTCTGTTGACAGTGCAATGGGCTGCCAACAGCTGCTATGAATTCTGGCAGCATTGGTGTGTTCCTTAGTACTCAGATTTTGTGTAGATCCGAGCCCAGTGGCGGCTGAGACTGCACAGGGACAGGCTGCACACGGTGTTCTCACCTCTGCGTCTAACTGCTGTCCCAAGAACCACACCCTGTTCTGTAGCACTACCCTAAAATTACTTTTTTCCTTGTTTTCCAGGCACGGCTTTGTCTCTTCCATGCTGCACGCTCAGTTCTAGCCAACGGAATGAAACTTCTTGGCATTACACCTGTAACTCAAATGTAATGAGGCTGTATCCGATGTCAAGTCATCTCTCTTAGTAAACTGATTTTTTCCACAATAATATCAATCCTCTCCTGTATGTCACTGCTACTGCAGGCTGAGAACTCCATCTGCACTGGGACGTTTGTGTTCTCCATCCTACCAGCTGCCCAAGATCAGGCGTGGCACAGCCGTTTGCAGGGGGCAAGGCTGTCACAATCACTTTCTTCAGCCATTTGGTGGTAGCAGTGTACTCAAGACACTACTCTACGTGGAATTTCTTATAAAAGAGAACTGTGTATTTGCCATGTAAATATCAAATCCTTTTGTAGAGAAAGGGGTGTAAACTGTGCTGCCCTAAGCAAAGTTCTCCACTCCTGCGGTTTCCACTGTGTACCAAGGGCTCCAATGGCACAAGGGCTCCAGGTGCTGTGTGTGTTATAACAAATCAGTTCCTGGGTCTTGTGCCAGATGCCCCTTCAGGAACCTCAGCCAAGCCCAGCTGCCAGCTGTCACACCCTGCTCCTCAGCCCTTCGTCTGTCCCACTGACAGGGTGGCTGCTGCCCAGCTGGTGGAACAGGAAGCACAGTGTTCCCTCAGCACTGTGCACACAGGCAAACGTGGCAGATGCTGCTTGGCACCCGAGCCTCATGCTGCTGTAGAGGTGGAGCAGCACCTGCCTGGCAATACCCTCCACTATGAAAGCCTCGACTCCCAGGAGCAGCATTGTGGTGGAACAGTTGCTAAAAGGTAGAGGGGACCATCCTCTCCCATTGGAAAAGGAATTTAGGCATGTTTGTTACTGCTGTGTTTAACATGCTGCACTTTCAAGTACCAAAGCATGAAATTGGTCATATTTCAACTCTGCTGTGAATGTCATCGTTGCCCAAATGCACTAGGGTCAGTTTTTCCTCAATGTAGAGTTGAAATACCTGGAAGGCCTCAGAAGATGAGGAAGGAGGTTGGTATTACACAGCTAGTACTAATAAATTAAAGGCAAACATGCTTTACAGGAACCCTTTTCAAGCAACTGTATGCACAGAGAGGTTGAGAGGGAAAAGCTCTTCTAGATAGAAATTTTGTGTTGACTCATTGAGACTTAAGCCAGAGGTACAGGAACAAATACAAACCTTCCCCTGTACCACACCTAGAAGATCCCTTTACCACCTACAGCCAAAAAAAAAAAAAAAGAGTAAAAGGAAATTCACAGCTTCAGTCTTTCATCTGGCTTTTTAAACCAAACACCACAGGCTACCTCTCATCACTCTGAGGCAGGTGATGCTCAAAGCAGAAGTATTACGTGTAGAGTTGCATCATCTCATTGCCTTAGAAGAGAAAGTCTTCCTGTCATTAATCAAACTGCAATTGCCAAGTATTTTAAGAGAAAATGCTAGCAGTAGGGGTTTTTTTTAATAGTTTTTTTTATGAAGCTTTCAGGCATTTCTGCCTTCAAAGAGCAAGACAGTTTATCAAATACACAAAGAACCTATTTCCCTGTGTTATATACATTATGTACAATTGAGTGATCAGTTCCTTCATTGGGTTTTCCTTGTAAATGAGACTCTTCACTGTCGATGTGAATGAAGAATACCTTCCATAAAATACCCAGCCAGCTCCTCAGCTGCAGTGTAGGCTCAGTGTCAGCCACTGGAAATTCCACAAGTAAAACAGAACTTCTGCTTTTAGTCTATCCCTACTTAAACCATTTCATGACTAGCTTAAGGCTAATTTTGAAAAAAGAAAAGCAGTTTTATTTTAAAAGTCCGTTTTTCTCTTGTCCATCTGTCCATTTTTATGGACATCACACAGTAGGAAGTCTCTCTTTTGAGCTCGTAGTCTCTGAGGGCTGGATTTTTGTGGTGTCTTGTCGAGGTAATCCATAGAAATAAATAGAAAAACACACCAGGACAGCACCCAGGATGAAGGTAAAAGCTGAAAGGAAACAAAGTAGTTTAAATAAATACATTCATATATGAAACCTTCAGCAAGCCATGTAAGTTATGATATCTGAATGACAGTATTGAAGTTACCCAAAACGAAACAAGACAGCAAGCTATTGATAAGTCACAGCGTTTAGCTTCATCCTCTGTCACTGGGATCTCTTGAGTGTTTACAATCCCTACACGGTTCCAATTAGTGTTATCAGCAAGAATGTGGTGGTGGTAGTCATAAAAGGAAGAGTGAAGCATCTGCAGTCCCAGGTGCTATCTGTACAGGCTTACATTACAATAAACTTAATCATAAAAAGCCAGTGGGTGTGATAAAGTAGCCTCTGATAACACCTACTTTCCATGTCTAGACAGGGCTATTAAGAAACTATTAACGAGGCTTTCACAGAAAGCTCATTGGTCCAGGTTTAATTTGTGTCAACTGTCAAGAAAACACTCTGCCCAAGTAAGTTTTTAAAATCTTTTCATCCCTTGCTTTATGGCGCTCTTTTGCAGCCAAACACTGATTTTTTTTCTCCTTATGCAAACTTTCCTTAAGTTTTGTCTCACTAATACTACAACAAAAAGCTAGTTTTTCCACCATTTTCCCACTCCATCTTTGGATTAAGGTGGGAAACTACCCACAGCTAAATAGTGAAGGACGGAGCGGGAGTGCCGGGCACAGTATCAGACACAGACTTGACTGGGGAGAAAATCTTTGTAGTTGCAGAACAGCCCAGAGCCATCTGCTGTTTCCTCTCAAAGACATTCACCACATCAGTCAGTCACAACCCCAGCTGCTGTTTGACTTTCTCACATGATGGTGTCCACAGCAGATGAGCAAAGTACAAGTTAATGCAGTAGTGGGTGTAAGTCATCAAGGACGTGTAAAGCCCTTGAAGAAATAGCTGAGGAATTAATTTGGCACTGGCTGTACTAAACCCAACAAGAAATAACCCATTAACAGTAGTCCCAGGTAAACAGCTGTATCACACACTAAACTGCATCAGAAAGTGATGCGTGAAAATAAAGCTGTTTAAACCAGAAAGTTTTTTCTGTTTGAAGTTGTAGATGCCTCTGAAAGAAAAAAGCACCGATGCCTCTGAAAGCATAGAGTCATCAGGCACCTTTGTGCACCACAACGGGGACCGACGATGCATTAGTGCACAGGAGTCCTGGAGAAGACTTGAAGCTGAAACAAGAAAAACTGAGAGGGGGCATAGACGATGGCTTTGATATGAGCTGTGTACAGCAGACTGGGCAAGAGGAAACATGCACAGCCATCAAATCAAAGGCAAAAAGGCACTTACTTATCTGGAGGCCAAAGAGGTTGACTGATGCCACAGTAGAGAGAACAATGGCTGCCGCTGCAGAAAAGCCTTTCATGATGTTATCTGTGTACTTAACAACCACCGAGGTGTAGATGCCACCCACGCTGGCCAGAACTGGGAAGCAGATAAGGTGTTACCATAAGTACAGATGCAGTAGGTTATTCTTGAAATGATGCATTTTACGCCACTAGTGTGCTCCCACTGTGGGCTACATTGTCCTAATTAGTGATTTAGCAGATCATTCAGTGTAATGGGATGTCTAAGTGGCTTCCAGTAAATAACTCATTTAAAGATTATCTACTTGCTAGTTCAATTATTTAGGCTGCTGTTTCAGCACAAGTTTAAACTGAATAAGTGAATAACTTCCAAAAAATTATACTTTTAAATAAAATCCCTCAAAACACAGTTGAGAGTGTGTCAGACTAAATTCATAGCGTCCTGCAATCAGTCGTATCATTGTTAAAGAAGAAAAACAATGTCAAAAGACTAAAACCACAAGATACTTACATATGACAAACCAGACGTAGTATGTGTAGCCATAGAAAAACCCTTTCTCAAGAACTTTGGCTCCATCTGACGTGTACACGACAAATAAATTCACCACAATCCCAGATAAGTACAGCTGAATGTTCCTCACCCACAAGGAAGTATCTGAACTCTTTAACACCTTTTCAAAATAAACTCCTGGAAAAAAAAACAAAACAAAAACCCAAAAATATTTCAGTGAGAAGAATGATTCATGGTTTGTTGCATCTTAAAACCAGACAACCTCTGAGAGCCAGCAAACTCAAGTTCACTATCCTTGGAAGATCTCTTCTGAACACCAATGATGGATCCAGAGTTGGTGCTCCTAGTTCTCAAGGCTCAACCCTTGATCTTCTGAGAAGATGAAAAGGCATCACATCGGAGTACCTCACTGAACTCGAGGGGCATTTTCTATCCTGTACAAACTCCCTTACATCTGTGTGAGCATGAGTATTCTACAGCAAAGGGACTACCTACGACTGTTCCTCTCTTACATTCTCAAGTACTTCAGATTTGTAACTAACTTAGCCATCTAAGGAGTTACTGTTGTCTCATAGAATATTTTGTTAAATTGTTTCAATTAGGCTGTTAAGTTTAAGTGCAGTTAAAACCTTCAGGCCTAAACCATTGGTCAAGTCCGGGGCTAAATTTAGCAAATTTACTCTTTCCTATCTCTACCCTTTTTCAATCCACAGCCTCCAGGAAGATAATTTTATGTTGATTTTAGTTTTAGATTGATATTAGTCCGATTTTTCTCGGGGAATAGGGGAGGAAGGGAGGATCTATATTACCTCAGTACTGAAACTCAAAACTCCTCAGGAGCTTTGTGTTGGCAGAGCACTTGGCAGAAACCACAGCTTCGGGGGATTGATTACAAGAGCAAATCAAAACCGAGGCCTTCTGCTAATTGAAACTACAGGCTGGTCTTGGGGAAGAATTCGTTTTAATCTAAAGCTCTAGTTCTCAATACCACATTGGAGAGCATTATTTTTATGCTTTGCATTACGGAAACTCCCCAAATACTTCTTCATTATACTAGCTGAGAGGCATTTGTCAGGCTAAGAGGCAGACATTTGGCAAGGCCCTCACCACCTGCCTTTTTAACCACTGCTCACCCATCAGGACTCTGCCAAGCTCTGGAATTTCCTCCACATTCCAAAACAAAGAGAGCAGTTTGCAGGACTCTTACCAGGGACTTCCATGACCTTCCGGTGAGAGCCCTATTGACTAGAAGTTTATTGGTGATTAATATCACACATAATCCTTCACACAATGTGAGAAAATAATATGGAACCAACAAAGGTGGCACAAAGACCCGTGTGTTAGAAGCCCTAGGCACACCCTACCCCCTCACCCCCCAAAATCCCCAAGTTAGCTTCAAGAAAGGCCTTGCTAGTCTTTTATTAATGAAAAATGCAATTTATAATTTAATAGAATACAGTGGGTATTTATGGTTTACAAATGAGAAGGCAGATTTATATTTCGGGGTACAAATAATTCTAAAACCAAGGAAATATGGTATCTTCTCATAAGAATATACATTTTTGAACAAGAAACTAGTATTGTTAATGAACTGCAGCCTTTAAAATAACCTAGAATTACTTTGAGATTTGTGCCCCCTGAGAAGACCCACAGAGCACAACCAAGTGTAATCAACATAACAGACATTTGGCTTGAGTAAGAACCATAGTTGTAAATGTTATAAATGGAGAAAACAGTAGGCAAATCAGTAAAATTATGCTTTTAGATTTGTGAATATACAATTCACAAATCCACTAGGCAAGACGAAGGAAAGAATGGGGGCTGATTAGGAGAACTTACTCCTCAGACCTGTTTTAAGTCACAAAGGATCTGCCCTTAAATCATCTCTCCAATGCTTTTAAAAGCATTGCTAGGGCCCCAGGTACTTGGAAATTATCACAGGATCAGCAATTTGAAGAAAAAACTTCTTTTCCATCACTTAGTGACAAAACCGCACGACCTTTTTTTCATTTTGCTGGACTAATAAAACATACTGTAAAACATGATCAGTCCCAAAACTGGAGGTCTAATGGCAAAATAACTGCTTCATGGGAGCGTGGGAAGGAAGAACAGGATGGGAATTTAAACAGAGTTTATGTTTTCAACATGTAAAGCCCCAAGGGCACAAGGAGCTTTGTGGAAGAAACACCGTCCCTCCCAGCTGCCCCAGAGCTTCAGCTGTCAGCAAGGAAACCCAAGCTGCAATCTTTTTGCAGAAGAAGAAAGCCCTAAGTGTCTCAAGCTGCCTGCATCAGCCTGTCAGTGCTCTGAGTTTTGCAGGTCTTTGGGAGTACAGCTGTTGACCACATTATCAGGGAAAGCAGGAATTTTAGGAGACTCTGAAGGCTGTATTTTGTCTTGCAGCTTGAGAGCATCTATTTAAATGAGGAAATTCATAACCTTCTAGGAAAAGCTGACTGAGCCCTACACAGTTTTATTATTTCTGCTTCAAAGTGCCCATTTCACTGAAACAACACCAAATAAGAATGACACTCTCCTCCTTTCCTCCTCTACCCACCAGAATGTTTTTCCATGAGTAATGAGCATCTATGCACAGCACAAGATTATTCTTGCATGATTTTACAGTACTAGAGGTGGGTGACACTACCTTGTTTTTTTACAGAGGAGGGGGGAAGAATCCAGTCAGGAGAATATGCCCCTGTGAGCCAAATTTAAAATTAACAAGTAATTTGCATTTCTTTATTTCTGAGCACCAGTTCATTTGTCCTAAAGTTTTGGTGTCCTTCTCAGAAGCCAGAGAAAAAAACTACACTGAGGGGAGACATTGGTTGTAGAACAAAACAAAGATAAACAAAACCAAAAATCCTTCATTGAGTTTACCCAGGCTCCTGCTACTAATCTACCTCTCTGCCTTCCTCATGCTCCCTCTACATCGCAGTTAGATTTTCCACCTACAGAACTATGATAATGTGTATTTCAGGGCTGAGCTCAGTTCCTCTTGTAAAAAAAATGCAAGTATTTCATGTGATCACCAAAGGGGAGCTATTCACTGCAAAGTAAACTTTATTAAATTGATGTACATTAATTAAATGTACTGAGTGAGTCATTATGCTGCTCCCTACAGTCTTATTCGCAGCATTTGAAAGCCACTTCCACTTGCAAACCAGCCCTCTATGTTGCATGATGTAAAACCAATGGCACATGCTCCTATCATTTGCTTGACAATGGGAGTAATCATGTTATGAATCTGCCATAATTACCAAAAGTAGAAGATAATTATGGGCAGAGGGAATAAACTATTAGAGAAAGACAGTTAACAAATGCAGAATGTTGCGTTTTAAACACTGAGTTCTCCAGTCCTTTAGATACAACCCGTATACAGAAATAATACTGTACCTGCAAATCCTGAACATAACACTGCCACAGCAATCGCTCCAAACCCTAGCCATGGATTCTGCTCCACCTGCAACATCAACCATTATTTTAAAAAAGGATACAACACTTCAGTCATTCACAATCAATTCATAATCACAGTAATTCATAGTAAATTCCAGAGTGCTGTGGTTTGACTTCAGCAGCTAAGCAGCACCCAGTTCCTCACTCATTTTCCCCAAGCCCCACAGTGGGGAGAAGAATTGAAAACAAAAGATAAACTTTTTGGGTTGATATAAGCACAGTTGAATAACTAAATCAAAACAAAAACTACTGATAATTCTAGTACAATTAACAAAAGGAGAGAGAGAGATATAAAACCCAAGAAAACTAAGTGATGCACAAGATAATTGATCCCCACCTGCTGACAGATGCCCAGCAGCAATCAGCCCCTCCTGGCCAAATTCCCTGATTTTCCATACTGGGTGTAACATTCTATGGTATGGATTATCCCTTTGGCCAGTTCAGGTCAGCTGTCCTAGCCATGCCCCCTCCTGGTTTCTTGTGCCCCTCCTCACTGGCAGAGCAGGAGCCACTGAAAAGACTTGGACTCATGGTTAAGCACTGCTGAGTCACAACTAAAACAGCAGTGTGTTACCAACATTGTTCTCATACTAAATCCAAATCACAGCACTGAAACAGCTACTAGGAATAAATTTAATTCTATCCCAGCCAAAACCAGGGCACAGAGCTACTTCACTAAGTAGAGCAAAATTATTAGCATTTCACTGCAGTACCACGTGCTGCTCTAGGGCTGTCCCTCAGATCAGCTCAGTGTTGCTGTGTGGTGTTCCACTTTCTCTGGGTGCTCTCACAGTGCTCAGAGGCACTGTCTACTTGGCTGTGGCCAGTACTCCCAGAGGCATGACCCACCTTTCCCACTAATGCAGCTGGGGAGCAGCTATGACCTAAGAAACAGAAGACACTTGTTTCTCCCTACAAGGGTATTAGGTCAGTGCCTCTGAAGGGAGTGTTTAAATGACATACCCACACTGCGCTGGAGTTTCACTCCTAATTCCTCCCAGTGCTTTGATTCCAAGTTCTCTGTTCCAGCAATTACAGTGTTACCAAGGCCAACAGCTGGAAACAATCTATTACTCAGACATTCCTAGGATGGTGCATTAGACTGATTATGATGGTTGTGGTAATTTATACTAATTGTAGCAATCAGTTGCTTTTCCAACAAATAAGACCGGAGGAATACCACAAGCAATACTTCCTCAAATGGTACACAATAAAGCGAAAGCCAAAGATCAAGGATCATTTACTCTTCATCTGAAGAGGCAAAATATTAACTCTTACCTGTACTTTTGTAGCCTGAGCAGGCTCCCACTGAACAAGGGTAACACCAACACACAGCATGAAGACAGAAAACCACTGCAACTTACTAAGGGTACGGTTCAGCATCAGGACCGTACATAAAGCTGTACAAGGGATCTTCAACTGGTATGTCACCTAAAAAAGATGGGAATGTAGTGCCGAGGACATAGTTTTATAAAATCCTCCAAAACAAGAAAATAAAACAGAAAATTCAACTACAGAATGACAGATTTTTATATTCATTGATTTCCTACAGATTCATCGCCAGCTACAACAAAGTGAATTTGAAGTAACTCTAGCAGCGAGTGGCTTAGCTCAGAAAGCCAGGGCTATGCAGCAGAGTGTATGCTCTGAATAGAACAAAACATAGTTTAGCTTTTAACATTGAGGCTGAAGAGTGCTGTGTGCCAGGCAGATACCTATACATGTGCATCACAAACCAGAACAGAGAAATATATTTCCAGATCTGTTACTGACAGAAACCTGCATTACCTGGTAGACTGCAGCATCCAAGTTGCTAAGAGCCACGAATGCCATATTGTTTTGGAGAGCGTACACCACAGATGGAACACTTAACTTTAGCAATTCTTTAGGACTTCCGAATACATTTTCTTTTAAAGATGTTATTAACCTTGTCAGACTTCCAGTTTCTCTGCAAAACAAAACATTAGCATAACGAAGGGCATTTCTAAACTGGTATTTTAAAACAGAAATCAAATCAATGAATCTCTTGGGAGAGCTGAAAATTTCTCCTCCACAACCAGCTGTACTTTCTGCTCATAAAAGAAAGAAAAGGTTAACTGGCAAAAAACAAGTGAGGTTTTCAACAAGGAGAAAGCCCTGAAGGTGAGACAGACATTCTGGAATCGGGAAGTTAAATGCATTAATGTGTAGCAGTGTGTCAATATAGGCAGTGGAACAGAAGGCTGTTGTTCACATCTCCCCTTTTTTACTGGGTATTAATGGTTGCGTGTGATGTCAAATGCCCATGATTTTCCAGATCCCCTTTAAACTGGGCCTCACAGTCCAGTGAAAAAAGGATTGTACCCTTGCACACTACTTATCCAGAAAAACCTTTCATTCCTCAGTCAGCCATGGTTCCCAGTCTAACTTGTGCTGTGGGAGATGCTGGACCAGCACCAGCACATATGTGCAGAGGTGTGGCTGGTGTGTGGGGACTCCCTGTTGCCTATCCCTGTCTTTACATTTCACACCTCTCCTTCAAGTAATTACAGTGTGTGACAGAGCAGGCAATGGGGAAGAACATGTTGCTGCTGGCTGCTTTTACAGTTTGCAGCTTTTCACAGCTGCCCTCTGCATTACTGGTTCTCCCTAATCACTTATACACCAACCTGACATTTGCTGCTTACTTGTTGCTGCTGCTCCAGTCCTCTTCCCAGTTCTCCCACAGCCCTCTTTCCAATCTTCTCTTGCTTAGCACTGACAAATACCAACATCCAAAATCATTCCTGCCCCCTCCCACAGGCCTTGCAACTTGCAAACTGTACTGCTCTTAAATTTAACTCTCCTTGTGGTTCTGTTGCACACTTGTATGAATGAATAGCTTTAACCACATAGCTTCAGCATATTTTCCTTTCCTGATCAACCCCTGACTCTGTACTCCAGTTGTTAAACTTTTCTTCTCCAAAGATTGCCAGACTTTACCCTCTCATGATCCTTCCATTCAAATTTCTCTCCTTCCTTGCCTTCCTCCCTACTTGCACCAAGCATATACTTCCTTTTCTTTTTTTTTTCCCTCTGTAGGGAAAGCAGTGTTTATGCAGGCAGCTGCAATGGATTCTTTTTGTATTTTTCTGTAACAGAAAGCACACACAAAAACCAGACATGTCTGGCCACAGGGAACAACCATGACAAGAGAATCCATGGACAAGTAGCAAAAAGTGAAGCTTGCAATACAAGAAAGGGGAAAAGTTCATGCTACAGCTCACCATGGTTAATTGCACTAGATATAAAACTGTAGAAAATGTTAGGAGTCATTGATACTACAGGCCAATTTTTTTTGTTTGTTCCATTTCTGAATACATATTACATTGTCTAGGACTGGGAGAAAAGATGTACAAGAAAACCGGGTGTCCTAGGGTGACGTTATGGTGTTTGTATCTCCAATCGTGTATTCTGTTTATTCTTGGTATTATGTCCTGTGCTTTCAGGACTGAATCTGAAAGGGAAGGTTTGTTTTGTCTCGTTATCAGCCAGCTCACCTCCCCCATGGTCTGTGTTTAGGAGATGCTGGCTGGTTTGGCTTGCCTGCCTGCTCGTTTCTGCCTCTTTTTCTTTCCTTTGCTTTGCCCTTGCTTTTGCTTATTAGTTAGTTCAGCTAGGCAGTCCAACTTTTTCCCTGGACTGTTTTTTCCCACCCCCCCCTCTTGGATACCATCTGAACCTGTTCCTGACGGGGACCTGGGAAACACCAAGGAACACCGGGACTCTGCATTCTGTGACCTGCAGCAGTCATCCCCCAGCGCCAGAGACTGATAACTGGGCGACCACTCGCCGGAGAGACTCTGTGAGTTTGTCATCCCTTCAGAACGGTGAAAGAGTTTTTTGTCAGCTGGTGTTGGTTTTTTGTGCTGGGGAGTGGTCTCGCTTGTTAAATAAACAGGTTTTTTCCACTCTTTTCTGAGGAAATTCTTCCCGAACCCGGTGGTGGGGGGAGGAGTCGGGGTTTGCTTTCTGGGGGCTCCTTCCGGAGGCTTTCCCCCAAAATCTGCCCTAAACCAGGACACCGGGTAATACCCAAGTACAGCTGGACTAAAGTGCTTCTATCTCAAATGTCTAACAGAAAATAAAATATATTTAGCACATGGTTCTACTCTATGAAAATAAGAAGTAAAAAAAACTCAAAAAACCACACAGCAGTATCTTCTTTTGTTGATTCTATTGATTGATACTAAGGTGGGCTGTCAAACAAGAAAATAATATTTAAACTATACCTGCTTCTGTTCCAGACCATACTCAGTGAATTTGCTGATCACATTTTTAAAGTCACAGCAGCAATAGTAGCTTCTGTCTACTTTAAGTTCTAGAACCAAATTTCAGCAAGTGAAGAATAGTAAGTCTAATAATCACCATCTTCTCTTTAGTTTTTGAGAAAAAGATTAACTATCTAATAGTTCATCTGTGCAGTGGATGTGCTTTCTGAAGCATGCATTTACCAAGAATCTCTAACTGTAAGTTGAATTCAGAACATGGCCAAAAAAAAACTTTAAACAAACCTCCATGTACAGCTGATAATGCAAAATTAGGTGCCCAAAGAAGTACACTGCAAGATCAAATTGGAAAATAAAAAATTATCGAGCTTGAATTCAGCTTTCTTGATGTTGATCTAGGTTTGAATTTTAAAACATAATCAATTTTCTTTGTAGAATGGTTCAGGTTGGAAGAGGTCCTAAGACCATCTTGTTCCAACCTTCCTGCCATGGGCAGAGACACCTTCCATTAGACCAGTTGCTCCAAGCCCCATCTAGCCTGGTCTCGAACACTTCCAGGGATGGGGCATCCACCACATCTCTGGGCAGCCTATTCCAGAGATTCACCACCCTCACACTAAAGAATTTATTCCTAATATCTAACCTAAACCTACTTTCTTTCACTTTAAAGCCATTTCCCCTTTCATAAATTCATTACCCCATTGACAAAGCCAATTCCTAGGTATGAAGAGGTGAGAAATACTAATAGCTATCAGTTATGCAACAGAAAAATGCATTTGCTAGAAAAGCTGAAGTTAAAACTAGAGTTTGCAAAACAGCTCTGCTTTTCTTCATCCAATACTAAGTAGTTATGTACCAGCTAAGAATGTAGCAAATGCTATTACCAGATGGTGAACAGGACTTTAAATAAGCATGAGAAATAGAGAGTACACTTGAGTTAACAATTAGCACAGTTTAAACTATCATAAGCTTCTCTTTTGAAAGACAATTCTTTGGCATTCATCCATTCAATGAGCCCTCCAGGAGACGCCTTAAGAATAAACAGTGAAAGCATCATGTAATAATGTGTAAGAAAACAAATTTGGCACCTGGAACAGTGGGAGAGTTGTACTCTAGTATCCTATATACTGCAGTTACCAAGGCTGTCTCTTTCAAAAAGAAAAGCTACTCACACAAATGTTTGCTGCTGTACAGTAAAAACAGATAGTACTCTGTCTTCTGACTGGTTACTGAACTACAAAGGCACCTTACCTTGGGTGAGACAAATTGATTAGGATTTAAAACTGAAGGAAGCTGTAAAGGAGACATAGAAAGAATCTATGCTGGAATTTATGCTGTTCAGTATATTCATAAGTGATCTGAAAGGGGAGGTTCCTAGAAAGCTGGCAACTCTTGGACCCACCAGCATACCAGACATACCCACAACCATACCAAGGAGAGGTGAGCATAGCCTGACAAATGGTGTCTGCTGGTGCCCGTTTTGCCCTCAGCTATGGAGAGAAAAACCCCACCAGCTGACCAGATCAGAATAGACATTATAACCTCCAAAACAGCTCAGTGAATCTAATTCTTCCCATTTTAATTGGTAAAGAAGGCTCAGGTATCAATAAATGAGAAAGAACCATAGGAAACGACCCTGCTGCACTAGGTGTACTATAAACAGCCAGGGTCCCAGGTGCACAAGCTTTGACAAATGACACACACAGGTGAGGCTACCCAAAGGTCCCTCACTACTGAGAAGCGTGGGCTGCTACAGTCTCCAGAGAGCCAGTGGGATCCTCATCGGTCACAACAGTGAGAATCACAGCAGAACCACGTGTCAGCAGAGTCATTTCTGCCAGCATTTTGTGCTGACACAGTGAGAAGCCCAGGGTGCATGAAAAGAAAAATAGAAATTACTCACTGGTCACACCTGCCTTCTCTAACACATTCTATTTAATGAAAGGTTAAAGAAGAGAGGCAGTGTGTTACAGTTGCCTTACCAAATTCAAATATTGTCTCACTTCTAAAGCAAGTAAAATGCCATTTGTATGTTAAGAGGAAAAGAACTGATGAAAATCTAAGTACATCATGTGACTTCATGATCCTCTAGCACATAACAGCCAGCCTTCTGATGTACCACAAGCCACAAAGAGAAACATCTACCAGAGCAGCAAGAACTGGAATTTGAAAAAGTCCAGAATATAAAGATTCTTCCTAGAAAGGATGTAGCACAGGGAAGCTGAGAGAAAAGGCAGCAGACTGATAGCCTTCCTACTTGAGATGCTCATGCACGGACTAAAGTTCTAGTTCTTAGCAGCAGTCTGGGATTACAGAAACTGGTATTTTTTGATCACAGTCTTTCAGCATTGGTTAGACACAGCAAAATGTCTGCCTGTAACATTGTTTGGGAAGATTCATTAGTAGGAACGTTAGAATTTTATGTGACTCAGCAGATGATGGCTCACAGCAGACGATGAAAAGTCGAACTTTCAACTACACCAACATTCTAAAGACCCAAAACATTGTGAATAATCCATGCTGACACTCTGAACTGTGATTCCAAAGCATACAAACATAGAAAATATGTTGAAAGGACACACCTGAATATCATGCTGTATACAAAGCAGTTTCAGGTGATGAAGACTCACAAGCTCTAACCCGCTCTAAAATTACCCTTTACAGCACGATTATCCAGCCACATTCTCAAACATATCTGCACTTCAGTACCCAAGAATCTGAGGTTAGAAGCAAGGACTGGTTTTCAAAACACTGATCAGCACTCCCACACTTACTTAGCCAGGATGCCCACGCTCAGGACCAACTTGATAACTTCAGTGACACACACAGCCGTCGTTGAAAAGTAGAGTTCTGTCCCCACTGTCCTGGTGTACCGCAGTGCCACCGTGTACGTGGCAGCAACCAGGGTCATCACCGTGAGGCAGTATAGCTTGAACAGTAAGCTGACATTTTCTGAAACAAAACAGAAGAGATGACTAAGCGTGACCCCCATTTTAATTTAAGAACTGAATCAGTGTAGTCTCCAGCTGGAGGGATGTATCAAACACTACTGTGTCAGCAGACAATAATTATAATGTTAGGAAACACTTCCCATAAAAAGGTTTTGGTTAAATTTCACAGCCTTCTCAAAGAAGCTTGTACAGAAACTCCAAGTGCTTGGAACAAGATGCTCTCTTGCCTTCGTAATCACCCTTCATTCTAGAAAAAACTAAAAAACTAATCATACATTAGTATTTCTCTAATAACAATCAAAAAGTCTTTCTGTGCTTTCCTGCTCTTTAGCTGACAATAGGCGCTTGCTCCGAATTGTCAGCTGATCCTCTTCATGTCATATACTGAACTCTGACACAAAGAGCATTGGCAGACTGACAAAATCAAAAAGAGAGGAAAAGTTCAGTATCAGCAAAGAAATCTAGCAAATCTTAATAAATAAGGCAGCATTTCCTTCAGCTCTATTTTCCACCTAAGTTAGTAAAAGAAGATTTTGCTTTGAATGGTGATGTAACTTCACACAAAGGGTTTTCTTGAAAAATTCTCTGTAGTAAGGTCAAAGGTTAAGGCTTTTCCAGTAATTTAAACCACACAAAGACTGTGTATCATTTGTGTTATCCCCTCTGTCTTCCTCACTGCTATACTCCTACAGCAGTAGCAATACCTGTAGCAGTTTGACCTGGACCAACTACTATCCTGCAAAATTTAGGAATTAGCCTGCCCAAGGTCTCATGGCACAAGGAAGTTTTTCATCTATCCACACTCATCTAAGGCCTGAGAGTTTCATCAGGCCACTCCAGTGCATTCCCAGGTCAGGGAATGCCTGACCCTGCATCTGAACCAGCAAAGAGAACAGCACACAACTCCAAATAGGAATTCTCTGCACAAAGGCAAGATCCAACACAAGACATCAGCAAATACGAGGCTTCTATAAAATCCTTTTTCAAACTGGTAGATCGTTATGTTTGGCATCTCCCTGGTGAGTATTGGTCATCCAGCAGCACCCTTGGGGCCACTGTCATGTTCTAAATATATTAAAGAAACGTATTTTGATTGGTGTTTCTGTTCCACTGCTGATTAGAGAATAAGTAGTTTTGTAATAACTTTGCTCATCTAATAAAAGAATGAGTTGCTGAATCCAGTGCGACCAATGCTTTGGTTCATGTTTCTTTTAAGCCAGAGATGTCTTCAATTGCATAACATTTCTGCAAGGTACACTTAATACCTCCTGCCACTGCAATCATTTAAATTAGCTACTTCCTTATAGATAAAAATCTTACCCATGTCAGTAACCACTTTTAAAAGGTAGAGCCAATTAGTTTTTGGTCTAACAATGCTTAGAAAAGACTTATAAGCTGTAACCTATTTTTAAATTAAATTTGGATTGTGGGGAGGGAATCCAAGGGCATAACAACCAGGAAATATAATTAACTCCATCTGGTTTTACAAAAACATATCTTCGAATGGTGTTTCAGTGCTGACAGAAATTATATTAATGCTGCGATTTGACACACAAAAATTTTAAGCCTATGCACCACCAAACTAAAGATAAACTTAATCCTTGCCTCTATTAACTACTCTTAAAAAAAAACCAAACAACCCCCAATTTGACAATGGTTTGGAAACTTGGGTAAACCGAATGCAGCAAGACATAACAAATCTAGTATCTAGACTAGATAGTTCCAACATTATGTAAAAAGGTCTTTTCAATTCTTTTCAGCCTGGACATTTCTTCAGCCTGGCTCACATGTCTGCATCAGTACCAGTGCAGCAAGGGGAACAGAAGAAAGTATAGTTGGGGCACCTGTAACTTCTGATTATAAATCTGAACTTATAAATGCCTAAAGAAAAGAAGAGCTGCCAAGAGGCTTTTGTTTTTTTTCCAGTAAACCCCACCTGGATTTCTGGCAAAAAAGGGACCAGACAGGCCAAAAGCCTCAGGATATAAGTGCGGGCCTCCCACACATCTCCATGGCTCATCTAAGGGCTCCGCCAGGGCTCCTGGAAGGCAGCCTCGGGCCAAGCGTGGCATGGGAGCAGAGCCCGCTGCCTTCCAGGCTATCCGGGGTGGCAGGCGCCTGGCACTCACTGCTGGGAGCCTCCTGCCCCTCACCCTTCCAGGCCCCCGGCCCTGCCAAGCCACTGCCGGGAGCTGAGGAGCCCTGGGCAAGGCTCTCCATGGGGGAGCTGGAAGAGGGGCAGGCGGCGCCTTCCTGGAGGATTTAAACTCTCATGGCTTGCCCGAGGTTCTGAGACCGTGTGGGCTCTGGCCTCCTTGTACACAGAGTCACTGAGAATCAGGGAATCAATTAGGTTGGGAAAGACCTCTAGTGTCATCGAGTTTGACCTATGACCGACCACCAAGTCAACTACACCATACCACTAAGTGCCATGTCCAGTCTTTCCTTAAACACCTCCAAGGATGGGGACTGCACCACCTTCCTGGGCAGTCCATTCCAGCAACTAATCATCCGTTCTGTGAAGAAATTCCTCCTAATATCCACGCTAAACACACTCCAATAGGCACCTGGGTGCGGCGGCGTTTCCAGGGACACCTGCGGCGCCCACGGGGTGGGCGCAGGGAATGTCCCTCTGCACTGACCACCTGCGCCCCGGGATAAGCCCCAAAGATGCTGCGCCACGGTCAGACGCTCCCCGAGGGGAACTGTCGGCGGGGTAGACGCGACTGTGGCTGAGGCGTCCCGGGGACCCGGCAAGCCCCGTAGCGGGAGCACTCGGCGCCCACACGCCGGGACGCAGCGGTGCCGCACCGCGCGGGGAAGCTCCCGGGCGGCAGCAGGAGAGCGCGAGGGCGGGAAAGCAGGCGGGGAGAGCCCCTCCCCAGCGCGACCCCGCGGCCTCGCGTAGCCCCTTCCCCCCCTTCGCTCCCGCGGTGGTGGCGCCCGGTGCCACAGCCCCCAGCGGGGAGGACAGTTCCAATCCCTCTGGCAGGGGGGAGGCCGGGGGAGTCTGCGCGCGGGTCGCGATTCCTCTTGGGGAGCGGGTGGGAATTGTCCCCATTCTCCGGCCGTGCGGCCACCGGGACCCGCGGGACCCGCCGGGCGCCCCTCGCCGCCGCCCTCACCTTTCGGAGGCGACATGGTGCTCGCCGAAGGCTCCAGGACCGCCGGGCCGGAGCCGCCCGCCGTGCCCCGCCGCTCCTCCCATCGCACCATAGAGTGCGGCGCGGCCGCCCAGAGCGCCCCGCCGCCCGCGCCGAACCATCGAGTCGAGCTCCGTCCCGCCTGGATATCCTGGAGAGCATCCTGCTCCACCCGGCCGCATTTCGGAACTGTTTCATCGGCAGCAAACATCCAGGAATCTCACACACGTATTTCGCATTGCCAGGAGTAAGCTCGTAGCCACCGACACGTTTCTGCTGCGACAAAACCGAGATGGAGGTTGCAATTGTATTCCCCTGTAATTTTACAGCACTGTAATTCCCTTGTAATTTTACACCTTCTCCAGTGGAAAAGAACAAAGTAGGATAAAATGAAATTTCAATCATCAGTTTACTTTTAAATAAAATGTATTTTTGGATTCTTGAAATACCAGTTTGTTGGTAAGGACTGTTACATAAAAGCCTCAAAGCAAATAATGAAAATATACAGCAAAAAAAAAAGTGTTTAATAAAGAAGCAACTGGGTCTTTTAATCTGGGGGAAAAAAAAGCTGCAGCTAGTAATTGCACTGATATGTTAATTAATAAATATAATCACTGGTACCTGCTCACAACTTAAAAACATGGAGGAGCAGGAGATCTAGCTGCTACTTGTTTTCCCAACAGAGAAAATCATGTAGTCAAAAACCATTCAGCAAAGCTCTTTGTTAGTGCTCCCCTTACACTCCTTTGTGTTTTTAATAATGCTTTGGTGTTTCGTCCCTGTTGTGTAACTTTTAAAAGTGAAGCCAGATACCTTGGAAAACAACAAGAGAATGCTATCTTGCACAATGCCACAGAAAAATCACTCAACCTCAAGCTTGAATCTTCGAGCTTCATTGCCACAAAAAAAAAAAAAAAAAAAGAGATTTAGAAACCTTAGCATGGCCTATCACAGTTGTGCACCTGGACAATGTGCAGATAGCAGCTTGAGGAAGTCTTTAAAACAGATATTCTTTTCATGACAATAAAGTACCCCCTTTTCCATTTGAGAAGATTTTTTTGTCCTGAAGCTCAAATAATTTGGGTTTTCACAAACAGAAATACTATCTGCACTTGCATCGATCAGACCTGACACATATTTCTCTGCCACAATGACATAAAGATAATAATTTTTCTCTGTTGTGCTTTAGATTTCGCAAACACAAGCGAAACAGAGCTTTCAAAAAGGTCCCCTGAAGTCAAGTTCCTATGGTTTGCAGTGTGCTCATACACTCTTTAGCCAGGAAATTGCTAGAGACCTAAAAGGGTGCTAGAACCACCCAAGATAGATGCCCTCTTCTCTACCTCCTAGCCTTGGTCTACACTCATCGGGTTGGGTTAATGCCAGCACAAATGGACAGGCCCAAGGACCCAGACTGGTTTCATTTTGCTGTTCTTGACAATTCTGCTCTAAGGCTGGAGCTGTGACATTTGAGTGACTTTCCTGGGGTAAGTTTTTGCACTTAAAGATAGTATTTCAACAAGCAATTGCTGCATTAAAACTTCAGTAAAATCCCAGAATGTTACACATTTAAATATTAGAAGCAAGAGTCCTTGGGAACATCTTGATTCTAAATTGCTATTTAAAATCTGTGCTTCAGGCTTATCACTTCTGTCACTTAATGCCAGTCAGCAGCCCCAACAGATAAGATAAATGAAACGGACCAACTGTTCCTGGAATCAACAGACACAGCAAAATCTTTAGTGTTTAAAATCAGATATATTATGGGATTTTTATACACATTCAAGGTGTGCCTTCAGGTTTCTCATTTTCACTTAGGTTTCATCCAGTGGTCTTGTTAAGTCTACTGTGACCATATGAGTAGTGGGAGATGGTCCTCCTCGGAGGCCTTTCAAGAAAATCTGGGGTTTGGGTACATTGCTTGAGTTGTCACGCTTAGTCTGGGTGCCAGCATCTTTTGGCAAGTACACTTGGGTGAAGTTCTCTCTTCTCATGTGGCTGAGATCAGTCTGCATGGAATGAGTCAACTTGCGGCGCAAGTTGGCCTAAAGACACAAAAAGAATCAGATTAAGCAAAACTTTGTTTGAACATTTTAGCACCAGTATATACTCAGGAATGTTTGTCTATTATACATCTGTGGGCTTCACAAACCTGGAACATGGCCCACCTTACCCTCCTGTCAGTACAGGGTTGTGACTGATTTGGTAAGTCCTGAACTAACAGGATGTCAGTGAACAGCACTTTAGGTAGCCCACACAATTTTAAATGTGTCTCTTAATAATTTCATACCATTGGTCATTGTCCTTCAAATTTTATTAAATGCTTCACCTTTGTTTTGTTAGAATAAAATGATTTCATTGCAAGTGCTTCTGGTCTTTGTCTGGTTTCTGCCAAATGTGAGGTTTAGGGGTTGGTGTCACAAAGTACCAGATAAAAGTGAAAAAATGCTTTCTTACACCACATTGCTCACTAACCCCTTGACAAGGGATAAAAGTTAGGGTAATTTATGATTAGAGCTGGTTATTCACAGAAATTGCTGTAGATCCAACAACAAAACCACTTCTCACAAAGTGTTAACGTTCTAAAGCCAGCACTTGAAACAAAAAAATGATCCTTATTCCACTGAGCCTTCTATGTCAGCAACGATGTAAAACACTGTAAATTATGATATAATGCTCTCCTCAGAATATACAAAATACAGTCTAATGTGCTGGAATTCAGACCCCTCCATGTAAATGAGAAAGTCCCTGGAGTCCAGTCGGGTCAGTGAAGGCTGGATTCAGTGAAAGCTGGAGAATGATACAGCTGGCCAAATGTTCTAAATGTTGTATCAGGGCAGGTTAAAATACTCTCCAGACTCCACCACTGAGGTCCCTCTCTGCTGGAATGCAAGGTGAAGCATCTAAATGTAGGCACGTTTTGGTACCTTAATCTACAACTGAATCTTATATGCAGAGACATCAAGTAGAACCCAGAAAAGAACGATAAGGAACTTACAGACGAGATAGCATGGGAAGAAAGACAATATATTAAGTCTTTTATTTTTTTTTCTGAGAGTTTTAATGACTGAATGTATGCTCTTACAAGGAACTGTGCTTGCACAGAGAAATAAATGTGAGCTAAAAATGTTACTTCTAACAGCTTATAGGTTTTCTAACAAAGTAATAGCTTAATATTTCATACCAAAAGTTTTTTGGCTAAGTATGAACAACACAAAAGACCCCAAAGGCATGTAAGCTCATCCTCTAACAAAACCCATAAATATGTCTGATGCTTCCCCGAAGTATCAAATTCATTGATGCACTCGTAAACTATTTTTGTTATTTTATCACTTTGATATTAAATGTTTTATCACCTCCATATTATAAATTAGTATAGTCAAAGCACTTTTGCATGCATCTGGGAGTTTTTCTTTCAGTTCCACATCACTAATCTCTCATTTGGACAGCTGAGGCTAAAACACCCTTAGTACTTTAAAGTACTTTCTCTAAATATTTCAAACTAATGAGCTACAAATTTGTTTGGGAATAGGCTTCATGACCAGATATTGGAAAATATCCACTTCTGCTTATGCTGAAGAGCCACTGACCACATCTTATGTTTATTTATGTACTTCTTTCCTTTACAGAAGCAAAAGAGGCTTTTAGCTAGGCTTCTTGTAAACCTAATTGGTTCAGTAACAACTATTTCTTAGAATCCTTTATGAGCTATCAACACTGACAAGATTCCTCAGTCTAAAATTTGGGTTTCCTTTTATAATGGTAGAGATTTCATAGCAAAAATAGAAACAGAAAGGAAATAGGCTGCCCAGCAGACCACAGGCCTCCACAGTGTATCTTGTTCACAGAAGAAAAATAAAATCCCTTTAGTATTATAAGTTCAGCTGGTATTGTTAACTGCAATATTCCCTGTACTCACAAGTTGTTCATTTTGATTGAATTGTGAAAATCAGGTGCTATACCTTGACAGCTACATGTGCTGGCAAACCCTAGAAAGAAGCTTCTGAAATATTTACTGTTAATTTAGAAGTTTTTATGTACATATGTGGTGAACCTTCTATGGACAGACTGTTATTTCCAATCTATCCTGATAGTATGACAAACAGTCGCTCTCGCTTTTTTTCACAAAGAAATTATATAGTAGTATCTTCAACCCCTTAAATTGATTTGAATGTAGAACAACTTTAATATTCAATGCAATTCAATTCAAAATAACAAGCTCTTATTACATAAAGAAGAAATTTGAAATTAATAGATATAGCAGTGGAAAGACTGCTCAAAAAATAGGGAAAAATATGGAAGAAGTGAGAGAAGAAGTTTAGAAATAAGGAGAGAAAATATCTCGAAAAAAAATCGAAGTAGTTGAAATTAAGTGTATGTCTTTGAATAAAAGGTTAGATTTATGTTTCAAGGAACAAATGTTAAGAATAATTTATTCTCAAATTTGTTATCCAACAATGAAAATCTGGTAATAACAGTACAAACCAATTTTATAGCTTTTCTTCTCAGTTCCCATTCATTCCATTCATAGGATCTCACAATAGTTGGAGGCAAGATATGAGTATCAGTTTGAGTGCCACTGTCACGTTTTGGGGGTGGTTTCAGTGAACCTCTGCTTGCATTTCTGGCCTGAATGAAAAGAAACAACCAAAGCCAAACGAGGCATTGAGAAGAATACAGAGAAATAACATATGGATATGCAACTTCATCGAGACCTGCAAATCCCAGGTAATGGATAATGATTTTTACATTCAACAATATTTTTGTTCCCCAAGCCCCCACTTAAAGGAAAACATTAAACACCTGATGGATTTAATTTCTGACAGAAAACCCTTGAGGCAGAGGCCACAGCTGAGTTGCAGGCTCCTGCCTATCTAGTGAGTGCTTCATTGTTAGCTTTTGGAAAAAAAGGATCCCACCACCACCAGTATTTTATGATGCAGGCACCTCAGTTTGTCTTCATGAATGGACTAAAAATCACAAATCATAACTTGGAGAAGTGCACACATCTCTGCTACAGCTGGGATATAAACTCTGTTTCTAACCAAGGGCCATTCTTTTCACTCCTAGGGATCTAAAATTCACGAGTGGATCACAGAGAATGTTGTTTATAAATCCAAATCAAGTCTTTGAATTTCACATAGTAACACCATTACATTCATTATTGATGAATCCTTTTATTTTGTAATATGTTCCATAACTTCTGTCCCCAGGCAGCACTACACCCCCATCCAGCAAACATGGATGGACTGCTAAGCTAAAGCTCTGTTAACATGATATCTGACATATCTTCTGTTGCACTTATTTACTGTTCCTTTAAGCTACTTTTGCAAAAATGAGGAAAAGAAACATCAGACACAAGACCTGCCTAGGCTATGGACTAACGGCTTTTATCACTGCCAGAATGCTTTGGACCTACATATTCTCCTATGAATAGATAAGGTGAGAATGATATCAATTAGAAACGTTTCTTTAACACTCTGAAGACCTGGAAAAAATGGATCTTCAGACAGGCAGAGGATTTTACTTAATTCCTAAAGATAGGTATCTTCTGTTCTCTTTCAGAAAGGACAGACCAACCAGAGACCTGGCAGTTGTTCAGCAAGAGGCATGGGCAGTGTGTACCTGTGCATGTGGAACAAGGTATTCAAACTGATGATGGAGCTCAAGCAGTTGAATTAGCTCTGCATATTTTTTTGCTTTTTCTACATTCAATTGAATGAACTTATCTGGATCTTGAGCAAAGAGGTATGCAGCTTCTTTTGAACTAAAAACATAATATTTCTCCTTGTGCTTCAAAATTCCAATAGCAGGATTTCCTAAAAATGAGAAGAAAAGCCAACCAAAATAAGCTCCACAAATTAAAATAGTGAACAGTATGATATCCAACTCAAAAGACATTAGTAATCAAGATTCTTTGTTTCCCTCAAGTTAGTTTCACATCCTTCTTTTTCTGAACTCAGTATAAACCCTTGAGAACAAGCTTTTTTAAATATAAAATGTCTATTTTGTTAACTCAGTAAAACTGCTTTTGATCAGTTCACATCCAGCATGCCTTAGGTGCATAGCTCAGAAAAATAACAGATAAAGCATATATTGCAAAGGCCTTAGAAACCAGTCTCTACCCTCAAATGTTTCCCCTAAAATCACCAGTAAATATCTGATTGCATTTATACCAAAGGGCATAGCACTGAGATTAACTGAAGAAGTAGATAAAGCAGCTGGGAAGCTGAACAATAAATTAACAGAGAAAATGAAGTGTCAATAAAGGCCAAATAACTTATATAGGAAAACACAAACTGATTTCAAGGACAGGGGCAGGTAGTGCTTCAGATGTCATTGCCCAGGAAAGACCAGAATCATCACAGAGAGTGCCTTGAAAATACTCAGTCAAAAAAGGAATTATTAGTATGCAACAGAGGAAGATAAGAAAACCAACATTATAACAACCTATAGGGTACATTTGTAATAATACGTTTTGTTTCAACACAACAGAACAAGTAAAAGGGAGGTAGGAGTGATCAAAGGCTTGTGATACCTTTCATAGAAGGAGAGGTTAAAGAAAGAAGCCTCCTCAGCATTAAAACGAAAAAAATAAATAATATGATGGGGGTTATAAAACCATTAATTGTGTGCAATATAAAATTACTATTTAGTAATTTTCCTAACAGAAGGACTATCAAGTCTTTGTTGAAATTATCAAGCCAGAGCTTAAAACCATCTCAAAAAGAGGTACCTTTTCGTAGCATATATAATTATAATTGTGAGACTCTTGAGAATAAGAATATCCCATGACAAACTCTAGATGGATTCCAAAATCAATTAGATAAATGAAAAAACTCTTTGAAGGATTATTCAACAGAAGGTTACAGACTCAGCATTAATCAGAGGAAATCCCATAACCACTAACTAGTAGAACAATGAAGGATATAATTAAGGAAGGATCACTCTGACTTGAATTCTCATAATTTTAAAGTGTTCATGACTCTCCATGTGCAGTAATCAGATATAGGGCTAGAGTGACCTTCAGTCCAACTTAGGACAGCTGTTCTCATGTGCAATAGTAAGTAAATGTAAGTAAATTACATTGCCATTAAAATATCTGTTCTTTAATACTGACAAGAAAATGGCTGTATTTTCTTCCCAAACTCCTACAGGTTTAAAAAAATTCTATATGGACATGTTCTAGAAAACATAGGGACACAAAAAAACATGGACTAGGATAGCTGAAATCAGGCTAACTTTCAAGACAAATGAGCCTAGAGACACCAAAAAGTCCTATGATTAGTTGACTTAATCAAGTGCACTTTTGCATTCTTTTTAGGAAAGATTTTTAGTACTTTGTCATGACTGTTTAAAAATACATATGAGGTAGGCATGAATGGCTATGTTTGCAACATATGGATACATAAAACAGAAGGAATGGCCATTTTCCTATGCCTGCATTATAGCACATTAACAACAGTAACCAAACCTGTATTCAGCTGCAGTGTAGGTTATATAGACATACATACAGCAGGAAGAAACATTTATCCATCCCATCTTGTTTCTGCCCCTGCTTGCTCTTCAAGCCCTCCTGCCTTCTACTAAGGGCAGTTTATTTGTGTATTTAAAATAAGATATTTTAATTAGGGAAATAAGTTATCTGGGGTGAAAATTGCAAATGCAGAAAAACTATTCCAGCTTTGACGTAAGAGGATGCATTCAGAATGCCTTTACATTTTTCCTAATCCTTGTGTAAATATATAGTATGGAAAATGTCTAACTACAAAGCATACCTGGAAGAGTGATACCTTTCACACCAATTGAATGTGCACAGAAACCATGGTACTGGATTAGCAACTGATCAAAATTATCAGTAGTCTCTGGAAAAAGCCATTCTTGGTTCTTGAAATCAGAAACATTCACTTTGGTTTCTATGAAAAAATAGAACAAAAGAAGGATTTCAATATTAAAATATCAGATCTCTAAAAGCAAATATTATTACAGGATGACCAGATTACGCTGTTTTTCACAGAATGACCTGCAGTGCCCAGATCCTAAAAGGCAAACTTCAGTCCTGCCTTGAAAGAGAACCTACTGAAAATCAGTCCTGCAAGAACTTTCTTTAGTAGCATTAGTTTTCCTTGAAAACATGGGACAACAACAGGAAGACAATATTTTATGCCTTGATTTTGCTTTCACCCACCCATGCATTACAAATTCCCTGGCATAAAACTTGGTTCCTAGGGATACCATCTTACAAACAAACTCTTCTGGTAATCAAAGCCCCATAAAATTATTTTGTTTATACCCTACCCCTCAATTTCCAAAGTTCTGAAAGGGTATAAAAAGACATATATACACTTCAAAATATTTTACAAAAAATTATAACCATTCTCTGATCATTCTGCCATTTTTGTAAGGTATACTTGTATCTAGCTCTATTTTAATTTTATATGTAAAAATAAAATCCCAAGCTTCACTACATGAAAATGTAAATCTACGTCATACAAGGCTTATTTTAATTTACTGTGCAAATTCTGAGTATTAAAAAATCAATATATAGCACCTTCTGTAAAGCACCTATTGTAAAGAAAATTCAAACTACAAAATCTTGGAAAATTAAGGAAAACCAAAAAGTTTCAAGTTTCCATACCCATGGTTTCTTTTATCCTTTCTTCATCACTTTTCACAGTCATTCCTTCCAGAAGAGAGGTTAGCATTTCCTCTGGAAAAAGCTGTGACTGGGTTTCCAAGAATTGTTGCAGATTGTTAGCCATATTTGTGAGGAAGCTTAGCAGTAGCATTTCATCCTGAAAGCTGGTCCAAAGCTTAGAAAGTTCCATAAACAGAGGCTAGAACATAAAGAACATTATCTGAAATGCAGATTTGTTTTATGTCTACAGTGCAACCCAAGCACTGTGCACAACAATCTCATCTATGAAGAAAGCAGGGCTGATCTCCAAGGCCTTCCAGAAATTCCAGTGGAACTCAGGGACACTGTAAGAGGAGCTCCCACCACTTGCTTCCACCTAAAGCAAGGATACCCAGCATGTCAACCCACAGGCAAGAATAGTGCTTTTCTATATTTTACTCCAGAGCCTTTCTCAAATAAATGTACTCTGTGACCATGCTTTGAATTTAGTGCTTCACTGACAGTACAGTTTTATAACTGAAAATAGGGTGTACAGGAGTAAGCACCAGGAGGAACACATCTGATTAATTACCAAAGTAGGTAAAACCACACCTATATACAAACTATCACGTTTTGGTTTTTTGCGTGCCCTGCTTCCAGAGTGACATGCTGTTGGCACACAGGTGTAGGCACATAAAGAAGCAGCCTGTAAGCTTTAAGTTTAAATGCTGTTTTCTATGACAGCAACATAAAATGTGCCCTGTTACATCTAAACACACAGAGAGCATTTACAGGAAGAGATTCAACCAATCTGAAATGTACACTTAGCCACATATTTTATGCATGTTAACAACATTATCATAAGAGCAGCCAACAGAACCAGCTCTGGAATTCATCAGTGTTGCTAATGCCGTGGAAATGTTATGGTTACAAAAATGGAAGAAGCTAAAGGAAGATCAAAAACATTCTTAATAGAATAAACAAAGAATATTAATGAAATGTACTCTTTTTCCCAAAACAAATGTTTACTACAAATATAGGCCTTATCCTATGCTTTTTAAAAGACAGAATGCCCTGCTTCTCTACCTTTGTAGAGGATCTAGCTTGCTAGCAACAAGCAAAAGACAAGAGAAGTTATTTAAATGGTGTGTTAATAGAAATAGCTCTACCTGAAATCTCTATCTGAAATCAAATGGCATTATATATTCTGTCTTGAGCAGAGAAGACAAAACAACTAACTAACTAGAAGGGAAAAAACCTCTAGGAAGGCAGCAAACAAAATTAGACAGCTTTTAGGGAAAAGGGTAAGGTAAATCAGTCACTTAAGCCCCACAAAGATATAGAAGAGGAAAAACTGCTTTGAGTAGCTGAACAAGAGGGGAAAATGTTCTCCAAATGAGAACATCTGGTTTATAAAATCAAAAGCACACATAAATTGAAGCTTGGATTACTCAGTTAAAGCACCATTCCCATGAGTTTCCAGCTTGGATGGTCTTGTGGGAAGTGTAAAAATTACTCTGAGTAGGTGGGGGTCATGATCTTCCTCTTCCTCCACAGTAGGCTTTATTTTGCTTTCTTTGCTTAGGATGTTGAAAAATAACCTAAAATATGTATGAAACTGCATGCTGATGAAGGACCACCACAAGGAATTGGAATGATAATCAAATCACACAAAATAACAAGCTCTTACATGAAAAGCAAATTGAATGAAGCTGGTTTCTAGCAAATTTCTCTCCCATTTCCTTTGTAACATCCCAGCTTTTCACAGGCTCATCAAGCAGCCTCCCTCATAATACCTGTAGTTCCCAGCATCTGTTTCCTTCCCCCCTAATACCTCCTTGCCATGTCCTGTAGCTCCCAACCAAGGGTGCAACAGTACAGAAGATCAATCCTTCAGTGGCTGCTCACTAGACAGAGAGCCCACAAACCATTTCAGACCTGATCTTGGTAAGGCTCTTATTGTGTGTCCCTAGTTGCTCTTTTTTTTTCCCCACAAAACTTGCAGAAACTGACATATTTTGATATCTTTGGACTCTGACAAATGTGACTGAAACTTGCCAACAGGTTCAGAAGCTACTGGGAGGGGAAAAGAGGTTAACACCCCCATCACTGAAACCCAGTTTCTTTAGAAAAATTATATCAATGACTCATACTGTAATTACAAGGATTGCTGTCTGAGAGAACTGCAATCATTATGTTCTTAAAGTTACTGCAAGGAACAGACAAAAACCGGGAAGATATCACTGTAAATCTACAAATACTGACAAATAAGACGCAGTAAAATACCATTTCATTCCTTTGGTCTCTTTTTGTACCTTGCCTTTTTCTTACCTTAAGAGCAAGTCTTTTAGTTGCCCCTTCAAAAATCACAGATGATATTGTAATAGAGAGAAAATATGTAGCCTCTTTCTAAACATAAACTATTCAAAAACACACCATCAAAGTATCTTACTTTAATAATTTTGTCTTCTGAAGAAGTAATGGGTTTTCCATTCATAATACTTACAAAAACTTCTTTGAACTCTATGGAAGTCTTATCCTCCACTGTGTTTTTCAATACCATCATTGCTGCTTCAAACTGAACATTCAACGATTCAACTTCTTGAGCATTTGTAATTATATTAGACTGGAAAGAGAATTCCAGGTTAAGATGTATCATACTCCAAAAATCAAGTATTTGGTAATAAGCATTTACTTGGGCCTCTTCTTTCAACTATTTTCTGAACAATCATTTTAGGGAACATAATGTACTCTAGCTTTCCACGAAATACATTTTTCCTTAAATGTTCAGGTGTTCAGGCACTTCACTCACACAAAAACCAGCATTTTTTTATAGAAAATCCTCTACATTTTCCCAATGAAGAGAAAAAAAAACCAAAAAAACCCAAAACAAAACAAAAAAAAGCCACCCCAAACTTTTTTTTCACTGCCTTATACAGGAAAGACTAATAAAAATCTGCAGTTTCTCAAAAGACAAATGAAAAGTTCTTCATTAACAAAACAAGAATTTAAATTGTATTCTTCAAAGACTTTTGATGGTTTCATATATTTCGGGGGTGTCTGCAGACTAAAACTGAGCTGATTTATAGATTGATCAAGGAGATTTTTTCTCTCATGCCTTTTGGGGCAGAGAATCAGTATGCAAACAACTGTTTAATGGTAGACTTGGCAGTGCCAGGCTAATAGGTTAATGGTTGGACTTGATGGTTTTAAAGATATTTTCAAACCTAAACAATCTACGGTTCTTTATCCAGAGATATATTTTATTTTATTTCATTTATTTCCGAATAAATTTTCTTATATTTCTGTCCTGTGCAAGTGGGTAACTTGAAGACATTCCATCTGCAGTAAAAGTCCACAGGATATAACAGGATGATATCTCACCTGAAGGATGCAAAGGAAGGCTTCGTACTGTCTCACATTGAATAGTGCTTCTTTTAATTTTAAAGAACTAAGCTGGGAGTGTCTGTGGGTGTCTTCCTGCATGAATTCCAGCAGGGCTGTGTAGCGGTGAGCTAGCAGCTTGCAGGAATTCAGATTTTCATCGAGAGTCCATGTAGCCAACAGAATGGCTTCGTTCAGCATGTCTGGCACTATTCACATAGCATAAATACAAAATACATATAAAAAGAATTAAGGAAATCATTATCAAATGATTTTCCTATTGCTTTAAGTGCAATATTTGAACATAATGGTCTTGCAATGAAATTTTGATTTCTACATTTTGTCCTTATATTCATGCATTTCCAAATACTTGCGAACCAGATTCAGCCACCCTATTTCACTAGTCAGGTTGTTTCAAATATTTAGAATTACAGGTGTGGAAATATCATAGTCAAGTAACGGAGTGTGAGAAAACTTGCTTTATAGTAGATGCAATTCTGTTGCTACAACTGACATGAGTTTCCTGAGAGAATCTGCACAATTTTCAATTCTCAGTTTCCTAATTTGTAAAATACCAATATCAATAACAGGCCTCCCTGAGATGGGAAATTATTGGAGCATCTCCAGTGAAGAAGTCCAGGAAGTATGAATTGGGAATACCCAGCTCAAATGCAGTTTTTTACTTACAGTCATCAATGCCGCTTCCTCCTTTCTGGCACTGCTTGTTGTACAAACGAATTCCTGAGACTAGCATGGCAAGATCTTTCAGCTGTTGTTCTTTGTCCTTCTTACTGAGTGAGATGAAAGTAATCATCTCTGTCTGGGGGAATACACTCTGCAAGGCAGCTATAAGTATTACAAAGTGTGAGAAAACCCTCAATATGAGGGAACAGAAAAGCAAACTGTTAAATAAACAAAAATAGCCTCTCCTAAACAAATGCGAAGAGTAGGAAATCTATGAGAAATTTACACTTCAAGGCTGAGCAGTGACAGCTTGGATAGTAAGCATTCATCACAGTTTACCCCTTTTGTATCTAAATATCAGCAAAGAGAAGGTGAAATTTTATTTTTCAAGAAGAAAAGCCCAATTTCACAGTTTACTGACCTGTTACCTCCCTGACAGCTTCAATATCTGTTGGGGATCCCAGGCCAGATCTCAGCAGTGCATAAGTAACAATCTTTTGATACACATTCTCTGTGTCTTCTTGTACACGTGGATGGCTCTCTGTGATAGCTCTAACCACAGGAGCCAGTTTTCCTTCCAGAACACGCTCCTGCTCACTCAGTAATTCATCTAGGAAAGGAGGACACTTAGAAAGTGCTATCTAAGTTCTTTGAAATTTGGCTTATACAGAGAGTGCAATTCATTTCCATGGTCGGAGCACCAACTTAAGGTTTCTGAAGCACAGTTACATGCAAGAGATGTTCATAGTACCACACCATTAGAATTTAAAACAGCAGAGTTAAACATTAATATAATTAGCATGATTAATACCAGGCAATAGAGTTCTGAGAACTGTTCAGGCCAAATTAAACAGCAAGTCTCTGGCTGTCTGGACTCCTCTGACTGTAGGAGAACCTAACTTACATACACACATATTTCAAACCCATCTGAGGTTACATGCTCAAATCTGAATATTACTCAGGATCTCAAAAACTTGCTGGAGTTACTGAGCTCATAGAGGATTTAGGAGCAGCTCCCAGTGTTGCTAATTTTTGGTTTTAATCCATGCTAACAGGAAAACAAATTCATTATGTCCCCACAGAGAAATGCTTTTTTCATGTCTATTCTTGTTCTGTTCTATTTCCCAGACAGCCTCCACTGTCCCTCTGATATCTGACATGTCGTTTTATTTTCACATTCTCATTGTCAGGCCATATGAAATTACTGCTGATGAGACAAAAATGTAGTCAGTTAAAACTGTAACTGATTGTTCAAGATTACTCAAATCTCCCCATTAGGGATATTGATAAAATACTGAGTTCTGAGTGCCTTCAGACACAGGTGCAAGCTTTTCTTGCTGAAGGCAGCTAACCACTGAACCTGAAAGTGTAATTGTCCTCAAGCAACCTAATACATTACATTGAGTAAATCTCTCAGACAGCATGAGAAGAGTGTACTATCAAATCTAATGTACATTTTTCCCAACTATATCCATACTGGAACATCAGGCTCCTGTACAGTAAATTTCTCCTGGGATTTTTATTTTGCTTTACTGCCAGGATTCATTAAATAGTAATTATTATTATTAAATTATAAACTCAGCATCAACTTCTATGAAAACATACTTGACATTACCTCGGCTTGCATAGTTCATATCAAAGTAAACTTGCATCTTAATTGTGCTTAGGGATGGGTTTGTTGTGTCAAGCAGTCTGGTAACACAGAGCTAAAAAGAGAGTCAAAGAAGTGAGTTCTTTCTCATCTCTGGGGAAACATCTGAACCAATAGCGATCTACTACAGGTTTCACAACAGCTGTAGAGCCCCTTTGCTACCATTCTCTCCACATAAAGCTTTTCTAAGGCTTTGTTTATAGAAGCATAATCCAGTCTTTAGCTACAGAGCCATGAGAATAAAGTAGCACTAAAATTTTGAAAGTGTTCATGTCATTTTAGTTACAGGAACAGGTAGCAAATAATGCTATAGTCTTAGATAAGTACTGACTCTCAACATCATGTCAGAATTACCTGGATAAGATCCTGCATATCATTTTCCGTAAGGATTTGATCCATATTAAAGTCATTTCTTGGATCTAAAACAACAGCTTTCACCTAGAGATTGCCAAAAGAAAGATACTAATTTACATCTCAAAATGTCATCTTTGTAACTCACTTTTTATTTTCTGAAAAATCTCAGATGCATTCAATATTTCTTTACTATTCTTTTTTATCCATTTCAGTCTTTGATAATGAAACAAAATTACTTCATTTCACATCTCGCCACTTTCAATCTCAGTTCTCAGGTACAAATGAAGAAAAAATCTTTTTATGATACAAATATTTAAATATAGCTCCTTTAAAAATTACTTGGAAAAATATTGTCCTAAATAACATTTTCTGAAAATCCATCATGGTTGTTTATGAACTTCTGAGTTGGTGTTCTACGCTTCAGAATAAACATTTACCATTTGAATAAAAAAACCCATAGTGTTCTGCATGCAAGGAAATACGTGCATGTTTGCAATTGGTGTTCATGCTAGGTGTCTTGCCAGCCATTTGTAAGAATTTTTTAATCATTAAAATTTTCCTGCTTAATCTGCTTTTGAGCCCAATCTATTTTCTAATGTTGCAGTGTCAGCTTTAGGGGAAAAAAAATGCACATTAACAGTACTGCTGTGAAACATTTACATTTATATACAAGTTTATCAAGAGCTGATCATCAATAAAAAAGGAACCTAGTCCATCTTTCTTTAGATAAAGCTTTGCAGGCACATGCAGACTATATTCTGCAGCAGTGCTGTGTCTCCTAAAAGATGCCAAAATGTAAAATGGTTTTAAGATACTTATAGTTGTTTAACAAGAACAATACTGAGATCGACTCCACTAAATTTTCACTTTAAGTTGGATCAGAGCCCACTCTTTCAAATATTCAGCCCATTTATACTACCTGGCTCTGTCTGAGCAAGAAACAAACAAAATTATCTCATAATAGAAGGAAGAGGTAAACATCAAAGAAAAAATAATAGCTGCTGCATTAAATATTCACCTATGCCTAACACATTCATTTATGAGAGTGTGAAGAAACATTATTAAAACTTGGTAACACTTCTCTTTTTCACTTCTGAAAAAAAAACCCCAGTGGTTTATCTGCCTGCAGAAGAGAACTGAGAAAGAGCTCTGAGTTGGAGCTCAGAAAGTTTCCAGGACTCAGGACCTGCAGCCTTCTGGGAGCATTATATTCACATAAGATCTCAGGGGAATAAAATACTTTCCCATGCTGTTAGGACCCTATACTGGATGTCGCTGAATGCCCGTGTACATTTCTTACTGCAGGCAATTGGAAACCAAGGTATTTCCAAGCTCAGGTCACCCCTGGAAGCCTCAGCTGCCGCCGGCCCCTGAACGCTGCCATCCGCGCTTACCATGAAGGCCACCAAGGTTTCCGAGAGGCTTTGTCCTTGGGCAGCGCACTCCAGGCCGACCTGGCGGATTATTCTCTTGATGACACTTTGGGTCCGCTCGCCGGACATGCTGGCCAAGCACACACGCCTTAACCGGGTTACATTCACTTCAGCGAGGGTCGGGCCGCCAAACCTGCCCGCTGCCGCTGGCCACGGGCGGGAGCGGCCGAGCGCCAGCCCCGGGCGTTGCCATGGGAACGCGGCCCGGCCCGGCCCGGCCCGGCCCGGCCTGCCGGGAGAGCGGCGAGGGCACGGCGGATGTGAATTTACACACAGCGCACAGGGAGACGGAGTTTGTACAGGATGGATGCGGCAGGGTGCCAAACATACGCGCCTGCATGTATTCCACAGACGTGGCTGCAGAGGCACAGGAGTGTGGGTGCGAGTGTCTCTGTGCACATACCAACCCTGTGTGTGGATGTCTGCAGCTATGGCTGTATACAGGCGTGTGTAAATATAGATACACGTGTGATAATTGATGAAAGCTTCGTGTTAACCACAAAAGCATTGGGGTTTGTATAAACCAGAATACTAAGCTCTAAAGTGAAGCATGGACACTAGATAAAGGAAATTATATGATAAAATAATTGTTTAAAATCACCTTGTTATGTTATATTATGTTGTATTATGTTACATTATATTATGTTGTATCAAATAAGTTGTATCGGCTACCAGCTTACAAAATCAGACTTCCCAAAAAGCCCTTCCTGCCTTTGTCTGATCAATACTGCCTATCTCAAAGACCAGACTTCCAAAACTTCTCTGGTGGTTATCTACAAGGACCAGATGGCTATCTGTGACTGATTATCACCCAAAGGCTTTGTGAATTTGTGTAAGGATGTTTTCTCAACCACCACTGCTTATGACAACAAAAACCAAAAAATTATTAATTACAATGAAAAGCCACAGTCTAAAAAAACCTGCAAACCACGGTTCAATGGAGCGTGGAGTGGGCGGTGACCCCTCACGTTCCCCAGCGCGCTGCTTGCTCTTTCTATATCAAATAAAACAATCGAAATTTTGCTGAATATCGAGACTTTTGTCTCTCATTTATAATACACGTGTGTATAAAGACACATACATACTGTACATAAGTATACTACCTTAATATCACAGAGTCACAGAATCATTAAGGTTTGAAGGAACCTCTAGAAATTATCCAGTCCAACCCCCCTGCCAAGGCAGGGTAACTTAGAGCAGGTTACTTAGGAATGTCTCCAGAGGGAGATCCACAGCCTCCCTGGGCAGCCTGTTCCAGGGCTCTGCCACCCTCACTGCAAAGAAGTTCATGTTGAGGTAGAACTTCTTGTGTTTTAGTTTATAGCCACTGCTCCTCACCCTCTCACTGGGCACCACTGAAAAGTATCTGGAACCATCCTCTTGGCACCCATCTGAGATATTTATGTGCATTAATAAGATCCCTACCAGTCTATTCAAGACTAATCAGGCCCATCTCCTTCAGTGTCTCATTAATAGAGAGATGTTCCAGACCCGAAATTGTTTTTATGGCCCTCCTCTGGACCCATACATACATACATACATACATACATATACATACAATACAATACATATATAGATAGATATAACCCCAATGGCAGTGGGGGTCAGAACAGGGGGTGATCTTTAAGGGCCCCTTCCAACCCAAACCGTTCTATGAATGGTCTGCTGGAGAGGGGCAGAACGGGAAAAAGAAAACCTTCATGGCAAGCAAGCAGACAGCCAAAACACCTGTGTGTTAGCAACACACCATAAATCCAAACACAACGCCACAGGGAATGCTGATAAGCAAGCTAACTCCATCCCAGCCAGACCTGGTACAGATAAATGTATTTACACACCTATAAATGCATACAATACATAGATAAATTCACACATACGTCTATAAACAGAATGTGTGTTTGGTACACAGCAAGTACTACAGGCAGAGGCAGTGCAGACAAGGCAACTTTGCTCTGCAACACAAGCAAGAGAGCCATCTTTGCTTTCAGGTGTCATGATTGCTGCTGGAGGTGGCAGCTCCTCTGGGTGTAGTGCCTGCAGGTACTATAGGTCACAGCCTGCAAGCAGCAGCCCAGTGAACCCCAAGTTCTTGCACACACCAGTGGGCACATCACTGGATGAATGCAATGCCTTGCTGTGAGTAGTTCAGTTAGTCAATATGCAATTAATTCCAGCTTTTCCGTGTCATATAGAGGAAAGAGTAATAGCATGCTAATTAAATTTAAAAGCCACGTCCCTGAAAGGCAATCAGATAAGCTCAAAAGGCACAGGGAATGCAGGGATAACAGATGAAAAGCTACAACAGTCTTCCACTGATTTAATTTTTTTCCCTTTGATTTACGTTGTCATACAGAGGGAACTCCACTGAGAATCACGATGAGATCAAGATGATAATCTAATCAGTAAAATTAAGATGATACTATGCTACCTGGCAAGTAGCTGCAGGGTTACATCCATGTTGTCAGTGTGTGTACAAAGGTACAGTGCAAGGACTGCCAGCATCATCCATGGGAAATGCTTTGGGAAGATCTGTGGAATAGGCATCAAAACAATCCTGCAACGGACATTGTGAAATCTTAGGTTTCATTCTAGCAGCGCAGCTAATGGGGTTTCTTAATATGTCTTCTGCACTGATATTTTAAAAATTCAATACCCTTAAGCTCAGTAATTATAGCAAGACTTTCATCAAGAGAATAAAAATCTACAGGACCTATTTTTCTACAAATTGCTGGATGAGAAGATTTTGGCACCCTTCCTGGAGCAGAAGTGTGTTGCTGTTAGTGAGCTTAGGGTCACAGAGATTTTCCTCTGTGTTTCCTGGTAAATCACACAAGAACCAGCTCTTCTACAGTTGCAGGTGGGGAGGATCAAGAGAAGAAGAATAAAGCAGTTTTGGGGATTAGAAGAAAAAAGAGAAGGTGCCAATGGCAGCTCTCTCTCTACAAAAGCAAATTTCAAGCCAGTCATAAACCTTGGGTCTCAAAGCAGTTCTGGTAACACTTTCTCCTGAAAATATTATCAGCTAAAAGCGGACAGTTTTACAGAGTTCAACCAAACACTGTCTGCAGTAGAGATGGAGGTGGAATTTGTGGCTTTGCTGATGCAGAAAATCAGTTCCCAACCCATAAGAGCCAGCGAGACTTTTGCTGACACATTCATAGGCTTAGTACACAAATAGTTTCAGAGAGAGCAGAAATCTACAGGTAGGATTTGTCCACGTTTTCAGTATGTATGCAGAGTCTGCATAATTGTGCAATTTTGGGTTAGCAATTTAAGGACTTTTAAAAGATGGTTTACAGACTGTTTCATATGTGTCTGCATCTACATCTGCAGTTAGCACAGTCTCTGCAGAACATTTGATGCTGAAGACCTGACAGCCACAACATACATACTTTAGTAGTTGTTACTTAAGGCTAGCTTTGGTCTGGTCCTAGTGACTGGTCCTTTTGTGGCTGAAGTGTATTTAGGGGCACTGACAGAGCTCTCATTCAAGCTTAGTTTCACACAAAATATTCACATGCTCAAAGGCTGCTCTACCGTGCAAACCAAAGCACAGCAGGTGAGGACTATGTAGAGATTCTCTCTGTGAACAGGTGCTTGATCCTAAATCAAAAAAACAACATACAACATCCCACTTCCCCAGTATTCACAGCCATGTTAATCTGCTGGAGTATTTCCCAGGGAAAAAATAAGCTTTCAAAAAGCTACCAGTACTAGCAGATGTTCAACTGCCTGTGCATTTTTAGGCTGCAGGCGGGAAGGAAAGAACAATATATAGAATTTAAATTATTTTATTGTTTTAAGCATTTCAGTAGTATTAACCTGTATTTCAGATAGCACTAGAATCCAAAAGTTACAAGAAGGGAAGGGAAGGGAAGGGAAGGGAAGGGAAGGGAAGGGAAGGGAATTATTTCTCTTCCAAATAAAAACATACTTTCAGGGAAGGTTCATAATCTGTACTAGACCACAAAAATTACTTTAACTTACTTGTAACCTACTGAAGACTTTAGGTTGCACAACAGTGTTTTATAACCAAAGCAGTTGGATTTCTTTTCTAGAATTAGTATCAAGTTTTGTACAGTTCCAGGAATGGAGGCCTGGTACCTCAAAGACAGATAAACTCTTCCCCCTGGCGGCGAATCTGAGCCATTGACAATAAAAAGGTTACTGGGTTGTGCTAGGAGGAATTCCAGATTAGTTTGAAGAGTCATTAAACAACACACACGGTTGTTTTTAAATCTCTAAAGTTTGACACCCTAGTGCTTTATTCATGGGAAAACATATCAGCTATTTGATGAATTTGCTATCACATTAGACTGGCTATCACATCTAGGAAGTCATCCCTTTATCCAGCTATATACAGAAGATGGGATTTACTTAACAGGTTGCTCAAGTCTGAGCACATACCCTCATTTTGCTAGTGTGGGAACAAAGTTGCAGCTGGGTGCTCTGACACCACTGATCTGCAGAGAAAACAACTCAGAAGCAGCTACATGACCCAGCAGTCCAGTTCAGGACATGGCCTGAGCCACATAAGGTGAACAAAGAGCTTGCACCCCAGAAGATAACAACTGCCAGGATGGCAAAAGGCACTGCTTTCTGAAGCTTCAGCCATTGCCCTGGGCTCAGTGGAGATGCTGGGCTGAGCAAGAGTCTGTCTGAGTTCCATTAACACAGCCACATTCACAAAGGGATTCTGCAAGCACTAACCTTCCAGTCATTCCCACTCATGGCTCATCTGAAAGAGACCTTCCAGCCCAGGTAACCTCTCTCTGCACTCAGGCCTCCTCTGACTGGATGCCCTGCTGGTGAATGAGCACCAGCCCCTTGGACTGAAGGTCTTCTGCTGTCATAAATATTCCAAGGTACTGGTTAAAGCTCTTCAAAGATGATACACCTAAGTGCAGGGATTTACAGCAGACAGTGCAGGACACAAGCAGAAGCTGAGTCCCTTTCCACATCTCTGAAGTTAAAACATAAACTGTGTGATGCAGGTTTTTGTTTTCTACTCTTCAGAGTCCTGAAACTACCTTGTACCTTGATGCAGAAACTAAAGTACACTTGATTACACTTGGTTGTTTAATAGGAGCACTGCAAGGAAAGTCTGTCTTCACACAGGAATCAAAGGCCT